CTCCCCAGGTGCATCACCTTACACTTGTCCGTGTTAAACCTTGTATACACATTTTACATGTGTATACAAGAAAACCTTATTAAATACACTGTCTATCATTAAACTGATGCTAAAAGCAGTATGTGCTCCATAATGGAAAGCAACTATGAAGCTGATTAAATGCATCCAGCAATGAACATGACTATAAAACACATGGCCCATACTGATGGGAATGTGTGTGCATGCGTGTGTGTGTGTGTCCCTTAAAAAACAGGAAGTGTTACCTCTGTAAGGAACTGGTATTGGTCCTATAGGTACTGCAATACCAGGTTGGCACCAGGAGGGCCAGAGCCAGCTCTGACACTCTCCCCTTGGTGCTAAAAAGGTGTAGATGCTGTTGGGAATCGACCACAAGGATAAGTTAGTACAGCCCATCTGAATAAAATATATGGTAGTGCCCATTTTACTCAGTCCCCATGAGTGCCAACTCTTTCTCAGGACATGGTGAGCTACTACATTGAATGCATTTTAATTTCTGTTTCACTCCTACTGCTGAGCTGTGCCTTTCTTTCCCATTTCCAATGATTCCTGTTTCTTCAGCCTTAAATGTCTGGCAAACATCACCAAATGGGGGCCCAAACAGTTCACTATAAAATCCCTCTGCTGCCCCCTCTCTAGTGTGTCTCACCCCTCTCCATGAGGTGGAGCTGGACCAAGCTGCCCTGTACCTCATCTGCATATACATTTTGGGGGATCCCAGGATTCATGACAAGAACATCCAGTTTCAGTCATGAGTGGGCAACTAATTAGCACATGAATCCTTTGTGGGAGGTATCTGGAGGACACAAACATATTGAGCAGTGCTGAGCTGTGGGGTCACCATGGCTTGAAATGCTGTTAACTCTACTGGGGTCCAGCTCAGTGAACTATATAGTAAATCATGAGCCTTTTGGTTTTGGACTAGGATCATGCATAGTTTGTACTATATGCAAGTAGACACAATTGTTGCCCAAATGGAAGTGTGTTTATGGAGTACCTGTGCTAAAACTTGCAGCAATTTCAAGAAAGGTAAAATTCATCCATTTGGGATGAACTGAATTATTGTGGGTATGTTTATTTTATAGTCAGTATTTTCAGATTTGCCCCTCATTTTCTAGTGCTTGGGGAGAACAGGGTCTGACAATAAGGAATGGGGAAGGGGCTCTGAGAGAGAGAGGGTCACCTGATCACCCCTCCCCCACAGATATATTTTCCCTCCTGTAGCAGTGAGAGGGGGACAAATTCAAGGCAAACCTCCAATTGTTAGATTCTATACCTGGAAAATTATAACAAATTTATAAATTTTCCATATATGGAATCTAATTACTGGGGGGTCATCTTCTATTCAGGGCCACTTTATATTTGAGTAAATATGGTACTGCTGCTTTCTTGCTGCATCTCTGTAGGTTTCCTTCATTGTCTGTGACTGGATCTGGACACGTGTTGGAAAGCCTTCACACTGAGAAACACTTGGCAATGTCCTAGTGTGGAAATTTTCTAAATTTATTGGCCTACCCCATCTTTCTAAATAGGTCCTCTGGGTGAGTCCTTACCAATACTAGGACTGTGTTCAGAATAATCAGGGGAAGAAGTCTGGAGCATTTGCACCTTAGATCTTTCTTCTGTAAGAAACTTACGCCAACTGAACTTCTAGATTGTTGGTTTCAGTGGTGCAGACCTCAGCATGAACATTCTTATTTCATGCTAAGATGTGTTTGTTTTAGGTTAGCTTATATTTGATTTCTAACTGACTTAAACAAAGCTAAAATAAGAATATCCACACACAGTTTTGCACTGGGTTAATGAGTCCTTTTTAAAATCAGATTTTCAGGTGGACAAATGCAACCTTGTCAAAGAGAAAAGGAGTTAGCTCCCACTAGAGCCATGCCATAGCTCCCTGATACATTGTGGTTATTGGGGCATACCCTTTTAGTTTGTTTATTTTTACAAATACACAATTAAAAAAAAACAAACAGATTTCCTTGCAAGTTTTTCAAAGATATGGCCGACAGGGAGAAACCACGCGTACAATTTTTCGTGCCAAAAGGAATTTGTACGAAAGTTATGAACAAAGAATAGGGGAAGGAGACTTATGCAGGATTTCAGCCTTTGCTCAGCAGCCACTCGGGTACCTGTGCCCACGTGTAGAAATGCTGGTGTTCTAAGCGTATTGGCTGATGGCTGAGTCATTTGAATGAAGGCAGAGTGATTATTTGCTGTCTTCACACGTGTGCACATAACACAGAGAAACAACATTTTCCCTTCTGAGGCCATACTGCACTGTCACAGCTCCCTGGGGAAGAAGCAGGTTCCACAGTGCAGTGCAGCATAGACACGGAAGTGTTTTCTTATACTTAAAAAACTTGCTGGCTTCCAGCAGGGGATTATGAGTGTGTGGCACCCTGTACAGTGGTCTCCCTGCCTATCTGGGTCACTTCCTTGCTCTCAGAGTTCCAATCCTGCCGGCCCTTTGAAGACGGAGGCTTCTTACAGATGCAGAAAAGGATGTAAGCTACACATCCACTTCAAACCCGGTCCTTCAAAAGCTGTCCCATAGCTGACAGAAGGATCAGAATCAAACTGCCATAATTCCACAGCTGTTGACAGGACTACAGTGAAAAGAGATTACATTCAAAGTAGCATTGTACTGATAATTAAATATGGCCTTAGATACTGCACTAGTGAATTCAGTTAAAATTTGGCAAAAGTGACCAAGCCCTGAACTGACAAAACAACTTCATTGCAGCAGTCTGGGTGAGGCTTTTGTGGTTTGATGAGAGAATTATCTTTTTTATTTATTTTAGCATTAAAATCTCTAGTTTTAAAGCTCCTCATCCCAAACTTTCAGACATAAACATTTCTCACTACTGATCAGGTCAACTCCCATTTTTGGATAGGGTAAGTCACTGACTACAAATAAGCTGCAGCTGTTTCTGTAAAGTAAAAAAAGAATGTTTTTTGAAATTTAGCCATTCAAAAGTAAGATATGCTAATATCCATGATGGTAATAATCCATTAAACTTTCTCTGTCCATCTAGATTGTTATTCCACTCTCGTGACTGTTGTATATGAGTGTCTTATCAAGAGATATTGAAAACTGTCCCTTTAGAAATATAGAGAGAAGACCCTACAATGTGTTATTTTCAAAGAAGTGCCACTATTTCCAAATATAGCAGCATCTCACTTGGCATTCTGGGATTTTTCTTTATAATGGTGACCAAAAATAGGTATTTTTTGTTTCTGTCCTTTCATGCTTTTCTTAACCAAGATGGGCTCCTAAAGGTACATTGCAAGAGTGAGTTCACCAACAGCAAATCTCAGAGCTGCCCCTTTCCCAAGCCTTAAATTTAGCAGGGCAGGATGATGAGTCAGACTGACATTTCTGATGAAAAAAGATAAAGCAAAAGGATGTATCTGCTTTAAAAACAAGAGAAGGTGAAAATAATGTTTTAGCTCCTTCTCAGAGAAAGGAGTAATAAAGGTGACAAGCCCTCTTGTTGCTGTTTCCCATTTGAAATAATTGGCAGCATTTGACCTCCAAGCTGGTTGGTGTGCCTTAAAGTGCTGCAGGAGCAGAGGCTGTATTATCACTAAGTCCAATATTGATATTTTGGAACACTAATAAATGGACATTTCCTTCCCAAGACTTTGCAGTACACACCTCACACTAAACAGTAGTTTAGTGTATTTTTATATTTTGCTTGCTGCCTTGTTCCTAAGGTGACAGATTGGGGACAGCCCCGAGTTGCAAAGTGACAGAGATATAGATGACTGGACTTCCGCAGGTCTCATTGGGATGTTTCTCTCTTTAAAGAACTGTAATTGCATCTAATCAATGCCCAAATGCATTAAATCCACTTTGGATAAAGGGTTGATGCAGATTTGAAAAGTGAAATGATTTGGGGGCCACAGGGAACTAAGCAGGCAATCTTTGAACTTCAAGAAGCCTGTGGGATTTGCTTTGCAGTAATATGATAGATGGCTTGACTAGATATGCCATTTCCTATTTTCTACTTTCATTTTTCAGACCAGATTGCACTAAACCACAAAACTATTGTGTGTCCCATGATCGATGTCATTGACCACAATCACTTTGGCTACGAGGCGCAGGCGGGGGATGCCATGCGAGGAGCCTTCGACTGGGAAATGTACTACAAAAGAATACCGATTCCTCCAGAGCTCCAGAGAGATGATCCTAGTGACCCTTTTGAGTAAGTAGCTGTAAAGGGGAAGAGTTGGAACAAGAGGTAGAGAGCACAAACAAGATAACTGTAAAAAATAGAAAAACCCATGCTCAGGACTTTCTAGACTAATTAACACTAATTAAATGGTAATAGGAGCAAACTGCAAAACAGTGAAGAGGTTCAAGGTAGCAGTTTGGGGAATATCTCAAGTTCTGCTTCAATAAACAGAATAGCCCTGTCTGTCACGTAGTATGTGTTGTAGGTAAACATACGAAAGATGCACATATTTATAGTTAACAAGAAAGAAGAGATGAGGATGGACAAGGCAAAAAATGTGACTATAGTTATTCTCTTTATCATTCTTAAGATAATTTTCTGTATAGACGTTGGTTTATGATTTCTCTTGCTGGAGATAGATGGTAATAGATGCATCAATAGCTGAGTCCACATTCTGCTAGTGGATGCCCTATTTATGATTGATGGTATTACTACTGTATATATATTGCTATAATTTTAACACAAGTGTCAAGCCAAAATACTATTTAGCTGATTTGTAAATAATCTCTGAAAGCCGGTTTCTGATCCCAGTAGTCTAAGGATCAGATAATTCACAGTAATGGGTTCATAGTCTCCACAAAGCTGGATCCATTGTTATTTTATTTTATTTTATTCCTGTCCTGTAAGGATGAGGGAGGATATATCCTCATCAGCGGAGGGAGAAGAGAAATAGACTTGGCTTAGCTGGGTGAAGCCTCAACATTTCTTATGCAGTACACATTGCAGCAGGACTGGCAGTGAAAGTTGCTCTGACTCTCTCATTATCCAGTGCTGAAATTCCACACTGTATCTGTAGTCACCATTCAGACTTTCACAGTTTCAACACTCCAAGGAGATGTCTGTAGCCTCAGATCTCTAGCCTGCCTGAAACAATGGGTCTGATTCTTGCAGAATACAGCGTTTGTTTCCAGAGGATTATCATGTCCTGTTCTTAGAGGAAAAGATGATATTGGAGCATTCCAGGGGCTTGTCTTTTACTGAAAAGTTAACTTGTGATATACCTTGATGCGTTTTAATTTGTTCCGGTCCTGGCATACAACCTCTCAGGCATGCACAGTGACACCTGAATTAGAACTGTTTGTCAGCGTCTAGCACAACTGCTCTGTAACATGGATGCTGGCTAGCACTGCGCCACAATGCTTGAGGGCTGCTAAACCTCCAGCACCTTTCCACAAGTCCCCCAGGGACCCATGAACTCTTCTGAACATTTTCTAATACTTCATACATGCTGAGTTCAGCATTACAGTCCACATTTAACTCCATTACCAATGCTGCAGGTTACAAGCTCTCTTGGGTAAGGCAAATGCTTCCCTAACATTTTATAGCATGCAATTTAAGAAAGAAAAGGATTCTTAGCAGGAAGACTTTAAAATCTGTGGTGTTCAAATTGCTGGTGTAGATGAGGCCTTGTGCTTCTGTAGTCATAGAGGTATGTGAAAAATTTTCATAAAATTTTACTAAAGCAGAATGGCAGAATCTGACGCACGCTTTTCCCTACAGCCTAATCTGAAATTTGTACTATTTTGTCCAGTTATGCCAGAGCCATCATGCAAAGTCAGGTCAGCAAAGGTGCTGTGTGTAGCATGTACTATGCTGGCCCTGTACAATGTGTGTGGTGTGGGCCTTGGATGTTGGCTGGTGTGTGCTTCATGTAGCGTGTGGGATCAGGCACACTGGACACAGCACAGGGTTACCTATGTCTGGAAGCATAGGGGAGCTGGGATGGGACAGGAGCCAGAGCTGGGCTTAACCCCTGCCCACCCTACCAACACTGATGCCAAGCCCTCTATTCCAACCCCCTCTAATCCTCCTCTGTAAGAGGAAGAGGAAAGGTTCGGATTTGGGAGCCTCCCCACTAGCTTACCTGTCCGCACTGCTCTTCCTTCTGTTCTCCCCTCCCCCCTCTCTCCCATCCCATTGAGAAGAGGAAGCAGAGGGAGTTGAGAGCAGAGGGGCAGGTTGCTGTAGTCTTTCTAGGACCGCCTGGCTGGAGCTAAATGAGGCTGCAGCTTTGAAATATTCCAGCCAGAATGGCACAGGAGCCTCCATGGGCCTGTTGGTCGAAATACTCCCTTTTTGAAACACTTCCAAATGTATTTCACTTGGAAACATTTCATTCATTATATCTGTCCTCACCCTCTATGACTATGACTATGCCAAGAGGTATTATTTATTTTACAGTTACAGTAGCTCCCCTTTTATTTGTACGTATTCATATTAGAAACATTTCCCTTTTGCCTTAAACTTCTGCAGTACTCCTTTCTTTGGACCCCTAATTCTTATAGATTAATTATCCACCTGAATTAATCATCATTAGCATTTATGCCAACTTGCTGCAATGATATTATTGTGGTTAGTACTTGTACCTTCTAGATGCATATGCTTTTTAAAATATCCAGTGTTATCCCTCATTTATTTGATGTCTTTCATAGATTCATAGATGTTAGGCTCAGAAGGGACCTTAGCAGATCATTGAGTCCAATCCCCTGCCCTGGGCAGAAAAGAGTGCTGGGGTCAGATGATCCCAGCCAGGTGCATGTCTAGCCTCCTCTTAAAGACCCCCAAGGTAGAGGAGAACACCAACTTCCTTGAAAGCCCATTCCAAATTTTGGCAACCCTTACCGTAAAGAAGTTCTTCCTGATGTCTAATCTAAATCTGCTCTCCATCAGTTTGTGGCTGTTGTTCCTAGTGACTCCAAAGGGTGTCCTGCTAAACACAGCATCTCCTATTCCTTGCTGTACCCTCTGATGAATTTGTAAATGGCCACAAGATCACCTCTCAGCCTTCTCATGTTCATCTTGGAGTCAGCAGTGACTCCAAGATCCCTTTCCACTGCTGTGGTGCTGAGAAGGTCCTCCCCCATCCTGTTAGCATGCTGGTGATTCCTTCTCCCTAGGTGCAGCACCTTGCACTTGTTCTTGTTGAACTGCATCCTGTTCTGTTTCACCCACTTTTCCAACCTGTCCAGATCCACCTGGATTTGTTCCCTACCATCTGGTGTGTTAACTTTACCCCATAATTTGGTATCATCTTCAAATTTGGACAGAATGATTTCCATGCCCTCATCCAAGTCACTGATGAAGACATTGAACAGCACCGGTCCAAGAACTGAGCCTTGTGGAACTCCACTGCCCACCTATTTCCAGGTTGATACCGACCCATCCACCACCATTCTCTAGATGCAACCCCTGAGCCAGTTTGCCACCCACCTGACCATGTAATCATCTACATCACAGCCGGTCAGTTTATTTACGAGAACAGAATGAGATACCGTATTGAAGGCTTTCTTAAAATCCAGGTAGATTATATCCACCTTGATTCCTGATTCTAGGCATTTTGTGACCTGGTCATAAAAAGAAACAAGGTTAGTCAGGCAGGATGTACCTGCTATGAATTCATGCTGGTTGCCCTTTAGCATTGCTTTCCCCACTGGACTCCCACAAATGTAACCCTTAATAATTTTTTCAAAGGTCTTCCCAAGTATAGAGGTGAGATTAACCAGTCTATAGTTACCCGGATCCTCCTTCCTTCCCTTCTTCAAAATAGGGACCACATTCGCCTTTTTCCAGTCCTCTGGGACCTGACCTGAGCACCAAGAGTGCTCAAACAGCTGTGCCTGTCGCTCTGCTATGACAGTGGCCAATTCTTTCAGCACCCTTGGATGAAGATCATCTGGGCATACTGACTTAAACACATCCAGCCCCATTGCTTCCACCAATCAGATGACTTATTTCACTTGTCTGTTTCTCATATCTTTGTGGGCCTAATGCTGTAAAATCATATGATCTACTTAGATAAAGCTATGCTTAGACCTTCAGCCGAAGCCTACTTTTGGTATAGATGCTTAGATTTGCTGCAAAACCTGAACTTCAACCAAGTCCTAAAAATCACATTCATAAATTATGTACATGATTTTGCAAAATGTGAGAGAGGAGAGAGTCCGGTCATTAGTGCTTGCAACTCAGGTGGGTTGGTTGTCATTTCTTGGCTGGGGAAAAAGGTGATGAGCATCTAGGGTCTGATGGGATTTTAACAGAAATCAGCTGAGTCACCCCTTTCTCTCTCAGAATGGGAGACGCAGTTTGAGGCTTGCTGTGGCTAAATCAATACTTTCTTTAAAGTACATTTTTTTCTAGAATAAAATGGCCAGAAGTGTTGTTGAAAACTGATTGTGCTTTGGCTGGGGATTATTATTTTCTATTTCAAATCCTGGATTTTTTCTTTAACATGTAATATAACACTTCTGCTCCACTAATTCTGTGGAGTGAGCAATGTTTTTAACTCATAACTTTTGACAAATAAGTTAAATATTACAAACATCGTACCTAGGATATCAGTAAGTTAATTGATCTACACAGCAGTGAAGAGGCTGAACTATTTTCCTTTGGGTACTGTAGTACTCAAGCTAGGGACAGAGGCAGCCAGAAACATAATTATAATGTTACTATTTTGTAAGCAGTAGAATTTTTTTTAAGTGAAGCTAAATATTTTGCGATTGGTATTCTAATAGTTTTACTTCTGGACAACAGTATCTTGTCTGATCAAATTCTTAATGCACTGGAAAATTGCCAACATTTTTAGCATGATACCAACAAATAATGAGTAAGTGATCTAAAAAGAGTGTTGATGGGATTTTTTTTACCATTTAAAATGCCAGCAGTGTGTATGTTTTATCAAAAAGACTAGGGATAGAAATTACACATAAACAGGTTTAAGTGATCAGAAACTGGTTTAAACCTATAATGAAGCAGAAGTTCAGTGCACATAAACCAGTTTCAAAATGCTGAACCTGGTTTAAGATAAACCTGGTTGAGTGTAGTATCAGACTTAACTGATTTAGGTCAAATCGGTTTATGAACTGGCTGAGACCTCTGGTAGTCGGGCCCGCTCATGCAGGCAGGGCCCGGCTGGACCCAAGGGTGTGTGACTTCTGCCTGCAATGCCAGAAGCCGCAGATGACAGCAGGAGC